TTTCTGTGTTGTCCGTGGTACATGGGGATCCTTAAGTTTGATATAGTCCTTGTCGCAGGACACCCCAATGACCAGAAGAAAAACTTCAGCTGGGAGGAATTCTGCGGAAGAGCCGGAGCCGAGGGAATGAGCTTATTTGGATATAAGGTTATATAAAAAGGCGTGATGTTCATTTACTTTTTTTTTTTTGGCATCTGTTCTTATTCTGTTACATCTGATATATTGACTACAATCATTTTCTATGTGGAAACAGAGTTTCATTCCAAAATAAAATACCTCTAACAGAATGATGACAGCTATCAAAATAAAGTCAACTATGACTAACTTTTCAAGTCTTTTATTTACAGCTGTTTTGATAATCTGTGACTTTGATAGTACTTGATATATTTTCTTTTTCTTTTTTAAATATTTATAAATTTTAGAATGAAACTCTTCAGTTTAAATGTTTTCTTTTCCCCAGTGTCTACAGTATATGCACATTTATTTCACTTTGCATTCTCTGTTGATTCTGTCCTTAGTAAAGGATATCTGATTATAAATAGAATAGTTTGGCCGCCGAGTCGGTGAGTCTTTTTCTTTCGCCGATATATTTTGTACACAGGTAGATTTCTACACAGACATTATGAGTGAAGGTATGTTTTCCCACAGTTACAGTCCTTCGGAGCGAATAACGTGGAACAATGTCACGTTATAAAGGACCTGGTGGCCATTGTTCCAAGCATAGAGGGCGCGGTCACGAGGGTTGTAGTCCAACATGGAGATATGCGAGTACTTATTTTGGAAGGCAATGTCTATGTACTCGTAGGTAGAGGAGTTGGTGGAGTAGGCGTAGTACACCTTAGTACCTCCAGAGTAGCCATTGGTAACGTAAAGTGTGCCACAGATCATAAAAGACTCGCCGGCACTCCTCTTTGGGTGGCCGGTTGTCCAGCTTTTGACGATCTGAAGGGTGTTGGGGTTCAGCTTGCTGATCACAATGTTGCCAGCATTTTTGTTGGTGGCGTAGACGGCCCACAGCCCCCCCTCGTCCACCATGAGGTCAATGTCAGAATGACCACCCCAGGCGTAGTGGTAGGCATTGTTGAAGCCGGCGTCATCGAGCTGCCGGGACTTGCTGATGGAGGAGGTGCGGAAGTCAAACTTGATGATGACGTGGCTCTGGAATTTATTAAAGTAGATGGAGCCGTTGTAGACCACCTGACCTGTTCCTGACCACGGGTGGGGCAGCCGGTGAGACGTGAAGTTGTCCGAGTTCATGAAGTCGTGCATCGACTTGTACTCCCGCACAAAGCGGTTGTTGTGGTATCCATCCATGTACCAGACCTGAACACAATGAACAGAGAAAGAGAAGAGCATTAGAATAAAGTAGCAACAGTCCCGGAATTTGTTTAAATCTGATATTCCTGAATATCTTTTTTTTTTCGTATATTGATGGGAAAGGAAGCCAAATAACAGTTGGGTGTTGCAATGGAATTTTAAACTCGTGCATCTTTTTTAAATATATATATACTTGTACATCTATCGACTGTGTATCAGAGCAACAACAAGCGGTTGGACAGTGTTGTTTCTGGATATACTGTACCCGTTATTCTGCCCATGGATTAAATCATGTTAAAATCTATCTGTAATCTATAATCTTAATAATCTCACAGATTAATCAACGCCACAAACACGTCCATTTTGTAAATAGACATAACAAACCTGTCACTCATCATCTGTCTACAGATCAGGCACTGAGTAAATCATAGATGGTCATAAACAAGCATCTCAATTAATTTAATGCCAAGACATCAAGGCGCACACGCAGCCGTAGGCTGGCAGCCTCTGAATACGAACAGTCCGGATGATAGCCACAGGGTGGCATCAGCAGGCCCAGCGGGGATAATGCCTGTCATTCCAAAAAAAAAGTCTATCTCTGACGCATCAACCCAGCTTCCCGTTGGTAGCTGTGGTCGTGGGCCGAGAGGTTCACCCTGAAGCAGCTGGAAGCTTTAACACTTCCTCCGTCTCAGCGGGACTGAGAAGCCCACTCCCACTCCCACTCCCACCCACCACACCGCCTTTACCTGTTCTCATATACTGCTGTGAAAACATACCTTACATCAAATAAATGGGTCGTGACAGGCCCAGAAAAATCGAGGGTAAGAAAACGGAAAGATGAAAAGAAGTGATAAACCCCTTGTCTGCCTCTGTCAATCACACTCATTCTCTGGGTGCTTATCTTTGATAATTCAGCACCTTACGCCACTTTGGTTCAAAACCTCTTTATTGCTACGGAAATTGGCCTGAATGTATGTGCTGGGTGTAATTTATCTCAATGGAAAGCTTCACCTCGGACACAGACCTAAAGCATTTAGAAGTCAGGATAATCCAAAACATTTACTGCACTGCATGACATTGGTTCTCAGCTTCCTCGTCTCTCTCCTCCCTTGTGACATTGAAATGCCCGTCTTTTTTTTTTTTTAATTCAATAAAAAAAAGTGTTCATGCTCAGCAGACAAATTTCCAGCGGCCTCTTTTCTCACAGAGCTGCAGCTTCTTGTTAAAACCATAAAGATCCCCTTCCCTTCCTCTGCGTTTCATATTAAGTAGGTTTTATTAACGGAAGCTCATTAAGGAGCCGACAGAGGCTGCGCTTGGAAAAACCAGAGAACCAGATGCAATCAGCTGATAGACGGTGAGAGGGCAATTAACACGGGGTGTTACTTTTCCCAGTCAGGGCCATCAATTATAGGGAAAGGTCGTCATTGAATTTGGAGTGGGCAAAACTTATGTGCAGATCTTCGGGGACGAGGAGTTTTATATGCAGTAGAGGGAATCGAACCTGTTTCTTTTGAGGTGATGTTTATTTTCCGCATGTATGCTGCGTGGCTCAGGTCACAGAAATTATGAGATGAAAATTTACATGTGTAATGATGTCATAAACTAAAGCTAAATGTGTACATTTTTGCATTCATTGTTTTATCTTGCGCACCCCCTAGTGGCAGGTTGTGTCCATTTTTGCATTCATTTTTTTATCTTGCGCACCCCCTAGTGGCAGCTCGTGCACACCCCTGGGCACCAACCTTTGAAAATCCCTGTACTATAAAAGAGCAGAGAAAGCGATGAGACATGTGCGGAGGTATTCATCTCCAAAAGAAGGAAGTCAGGTAGTGTTTAATAAGAAAATCCCTTTGTTGTGAAATTCTGGGGTATTTTTTTGAGTGTGAGAATAGACGCGAAAAGTTTCGCTATTTTACCAGGTTTGGATTCCAGGTTGGTTTCAAAATGCTCCAACTTTAAAACCACCTTTTTAAGGCTGAAAACCCCTGATCAAATGAAACGGAGAGACGTCTGTCTTAATGTTTCAGCTTCAAATCAGACACCATTTCAACTGCCAACATCTGTCCTAGAACTTTTTGACTCACATTTATTCATCACCGTGTGCAGCAGAACTTACCCGTGTGTCTCCTTCAGGTGCCAGAGGGTCAGTCATCCAGGATCCAAACCTGGATCCAGAGGTCTTGATGGTGATGGGATCACTGATGCCTGTCAGTTTCCCGCATGCTGCAAAGAAATGGGAAAATCCGGAGTGACACCTGGAAAACCCGTTCTCTTTCAACGGTATTCACTTACAGCAGAGTCACTTTATTCAAAGTGTAAATGAGTTTGCCTGCATCAGTGTTGTCTCACTGTGGCTGAACTGTACAGCAGCTGCTTGTTATTCACTTCACACATGCTAATGCCTGTTTTACTCTGTGTGCAGATGTGTGAGGAGGTGAGATGAAGAGGAAACAGGAAAAAACCATCCGTGTTCTGCTGGTAGGACGCTGCAGTGTTAATTAGAGTTTGCAGAGGTGTTAATATAAACCCTACAAAACTAACGTCGGACTCTGATTCCCTCGTGGCTCCGAGCAGCTCCCGCTTAATGTGCCGCTTCTAATGAGCACGGATAGAAATTAGAGCCACGGTTTTACCGCATCAGAATACGCCTCCAAACTCATCAGTGAAATCCGTGCAGTCATTTAGACAGGGGCCATTTTTCATGGGACATTTCAGCGAAAGGTCAACTGGATGATTTCTGACGAGTTAATTTTTTCCCCTATTAGTATAATGGATCGTTTTGATGTGCTAATTTAAAGAGCAGGACTGTGACGACGTCTCATTTGGAGTATTCATTAACATGTTTTTATTTGAATAACACTCTGTTTCCCTTTTTTACTCATATTCTAAATAATTATTCCTAATTTCTGGGAAAGGTCACCTCACCCCTTGGTTTAAAACCCAGTGTGCGTCCTTTGTTTTTCTCTGCTCTGGTTTTACGCCCCACTCACGGAGACTCTTGTGATTTTGCAGTGTTTTTGTGCCTCTGTGTGCAGCATATGCCGCGGCTGTGAACGTCTGTGGGCATCGCACCTCAGTGGTGTGTGACAGACGAACACATGGCCTCACGAGAAGCATTTACTATCCACTACGGTGGGGGTTGAGACCCTTACATAACCTTTAGTAGGATTAAAGGCCACAGTAATACACTTTCCATTGATTCTTTTTTTTTTAACTTACTTTACTACTAATCAGGCATCTATCTTTAGATGACAACAACTATGGCAGCCTGCTTACTACGGTGGGTGCTAATGGATGTGTATTCCAGAGATCAACACTGACTCTAATCCCCATCTGGCCTGAATGTGCCTGGCACAGAGCACAGGGCAGAACGAATGCAAAACCTAAAGGAAGAGATCAAATAATAATAAAATATTCAATATTAACCTTTAATACGAGGCTTTAACTGCTCACTAAAACCCTTTATTGACACATTTGCCTTTATAACGTGTTTTAGTTTAAAGTGTTTGTACATTGTTGACCATTTGGAACAGATGCTAGCAGCTGCTAGCAAGCTTTTTAGCTCATCTTTTGGAATTATTTCGAAAATCTGCTCAAATGTATGGCTTTTGTGTCGTTCATGACTTTGTTAGTTGCAGTGTGAATTCTCTCGACTTAGTTTATCAAAGTGAAAGTAAACAACCTTTCCTTCTAAGATGAAACCTAAACAAGAACTAAATGTAAAGATATGCGGGGCTAACAGACGAAAACCAAAGGTATTGATGCATTCATTAGAGTTCAGTAAATCTAATGAACATGTTAATATGTTCTGTTGGACCATGTTGACTAAACCTAATTTAAAATAATTTCTTACTACACCTAAAATGTCATCATCACTCATCATAGCTATGGTAATTATTGTTAGCATGATTAAATAAAAGTTTAAATAAAATAATTCTATATACATAATAATAATAATTTGACTATTTAAACCAGTGATCAAAATACAGTAAGTAGCAACTGCTCTGATCCATTCATTTGTAAAGAAATGTCTTAAAACCACAGAAAACATGTAATTTTTACAGTTAAAAAAGAACTCTAGTCTGATCGTGAGCATTTCATCCCCCCCTCCCTCCCCCTTCCTCTTGACGTCACTGGTGATGTCACACAGGCTATTTAGGATTCAGCAAGATTTGAATCAGGATGGTGAGACATTTACTGTCACGCTGTTAAAACCAGACAACTTCTACGTGACTGAGCGTGCAACACATTACACCTCGGTGATGTTTTGATGCTGCTAATGGTGCTGAATTCATCTCATTACACGAGGCTCTTTTCTCTGAGTGCCACATGATCTGCACTAAATGTATACATTTGCTGTTTAAAGGGAAAAGAAGGCGACAGCGATGACGGATGAACAGATGGCAGAAGGGCTTTTACGCCGTTCTGACCTCCGTGTAATATTCATCAGTATTTTGGGTTGAAGAGTTCAGATTAGCCTAAAGCTCTTTGTGGCTCCACGTCGCTGAAACACGGAGTGATTTATTTATTTGATTACTGCCGGGCAAGCTGGCGCGCCCCTCTGATCGATGACCGTTGTGTCCCAGCAGTCGCTGGGCTGTTAGTCTCTTTGGCAGAAAACAGCTTGAAGGACAGCTCTGCAGGGACGCTACTTACTCCCTTTCACTTTTTCGGCTCACTTTCACTTTATCATTCATTCTCCTTCCCCCCTGCCACCCTCTGCCAGCTCCTCCAGTCACTCCATCTATAATTCAGGACCTAAATTTCTCCTGTCCTCTCCATTTTTTCCCCCTGTTGTTGTTGTTTTGCGGCTGCTAATATGGCAGGTGACCTTCCCAGGTTCAAGCTCAATGTCGGGTCTGAGCCGGAGAGTGTATTTGTGCACACTATGCATGAGCGCCTTTGCAGTGGTGTGAAGATGAAAGGGATAGCCACTCTCTGTGTTCCCCCTGATCCAGTCCCACACCGTGTGACCTCACCTTTTTTCTCGTGTGATCTTAAACACACACTCACACAGAAACCTCCTGCTATCTCTGGACAATCTGACCAAGTGTGAAGAGCACTGAGCTGAAATGGGAGTAAAAACAGAAAAAAAAAAGAACACGTCCCGCTCCAGTCCAGTAGATCGTGAATAACGTACGTGTCGGCCGTGGAGCCGGAGTGCACGGCTGCTTTTTCATCTGCATTCATTTAAAATTCACTCAATGCTCCTTCAAAAAAAAAAAAAAGTACACAAATGCTTTTGTCACTGTTGCTCCGTCATTGTGCACAGTGAATAATTACATCCAGGGACACAACATACCCGTGATGTGCTGCATGTAAGTGTTGCAGTATATGTTAGTCACTGTCACGTGGGTGTGCATCTATTAGCACTGTGGGCTGTGACAGAGGTGTGAAGACGCTGACTTTGGGGATAAAAGCAAAGATGAGGAGTGAGGTCTGGACTCTGGAGCCGAGAGAGTTACTCGTCACTGAGAGACTTTATTTTATGAATTTAATCATTTTCCTTTGTATTTCATTATACACCCTAAAGCAGGGGTTCCCAATCTCCGGTCCGGGGACCGGTGCTGGCCCATAGGTCATTTGGTACCGGACCGCAGTCGGACTCGGACTCGGAAAAAATGTACTTTAGTTTTACTGATTTACTCCTTTACTTTTTTTATTAAATGATAATTTGGAAAAACTACAGGTCATTCAGACTCCAGAATTAAGTCAAAAAGATGTTCTATTACAAAAATTGAACCTTCAACGATGGCGCGGTATTACTGGTCCGCAGTAACGGCTGATACCAGCTGACCGGTTCTTGGCACAAAAAAAGTTTGGGAAACCAATCGTGTTCCACAGGGTTTTTTTATATAGATATATTCTGTGTTTCAATGTAACAAAATAAAGTTGACGAAGAATCACTTTGGGCTTTTTCCCTTTTAGCAGGGGTCGCCACGGCCTGGGTTCACAGAGGATGCAATCAACCTGTGGTGCGGGGACTGGATAAAACCAGGACCTTTCTGGGGGCAGGTTTTAGCAAAGTTAACAGGTAAATATGGAGGTGCTTGAATTCTTTTATTTTTTAGTTGTTGTTGTTTTTTAAAAAATTTAGGGGGAAAATCAAACATTTCCAGGGCCTAAGTCAAAAGGAGATTCTAACAAATTAGTAAAAGTTAATTAACTATTAATTTTAAAAAAGTATATTTTGCAGGAGAATTTTAATTATTTATTTGAGTGGAAAGTCATTTTTAAAAAAGTATATTTTGCAGGAGAATTGTTTTCTACATGGATGTTAGCAGTGTCAGGGGTTTATTGTTTTATATTAGCATCCGACTAATTTCTATCCATTTAATTGAAAAGTTCACAACGGAATCCACCTGCACAAAAGTGACGGAGTGAACGATCACAAATGCATTCAAATTGAATGAGAATGGTTTCAGTCATGTTTTCATGTCAGTGTGCCTACAAATCTCCCTGTGGCCAGTCACAACATACTGTATGTCAGTGGGGGTGTTGGTGCATGCGTGAGTCGTGTACCGACAGCTTTCTGTGCCTACCTAATTTTTGCATGCATGCTCGCAGTCTCTCCTCAAGATTTGACACTCTGTTGTGGAGCTCCTCGTAGTCATAGGCTCCCATCTCCTCCTGAAGTTCGCTTAGAACTGACGTCAGATTCTGGACCTCCTCCTTAAACTGCAATACCAATTTGGCATCGGCTTTGTACTCCTCCAACACTGGTATCAACGGTCTAAGCTCCTCCATTTTCGCTTTAATGGCCTGAAAGGATTAGAATAAGCTGGGTTGAGTGTCATGCCCAAAACAAAAGGAGTCCCGCTGTCCAGAAAGAAAATAAAAACACCTGTCTGACCTGGCTACTCTGACTCTATCCTGCCTCTCCACTGACATGAAGACCCCTGTTTGTGTGTTTTTAGTGTGTCTGTGTGCGTTGGATGTGTGTGTGATAACTGCCGTGTGTCGATGCAGGCGTGTGTCCGAGCAAACAAACCCTGGAAAATACGTCCACCCGCTGGACGAGCAGAGCAGGCTCCGTCCCGGCAGTGACCGGCCAATAAAAAAAAAAGCAAGCCCTCGATACACTGACAACAATTGGGAAAGCTCTTTATTGGTCATCATCGTTTAAAATGCAACATCGTAGTAAGGGTTACATGCTTTTACATGTCACAAACAACAAAGTGTCTTGAATTGTACGTCTATAGTTTTACGTATAGATTTGTAAGAGTAACCAAATATGCATAGACAAAAGCCAAAGAAAATAAAATGCATTACAGCAATAATAATAATAATAATAATAATAATAATAATAATATTAATGTACCTTAGAAAAAAGCTCTTAGATGGAAAACTGACAGCAGTAACATGCAGGAAGAGATCAGTGGTTGGTTGATTTGGAAAAGGGCGGGGTTTCTTAGTCTTAATGATGCTAAAGATAAATGAACTTAATTAACACCCAAATGCACTCAGTACTGGGGCCCAGTTCAGGGGAATCTGGATTAGACCTGCCTCTTCTTCCCTGTGGCTCTCTTTACATGTCTTAAAGTTAGCCCTGCAAGCAAGAAAATGACAGGCTGTTGACAGGGGCTGGAGCTTGCTAACCTAGCTAACAAGCACACAAACAAACAAACAAACAAACAAGCAGACACTTAGCGTATGACACGTAAGGACGCTGGACACATTCACTGGATGCGGCCTTGATTGCGTAGAGGTTTGTTTTTGTTTTTTTCAGCATGCATAAATTACAAACGTGTAGTTGTGCAGATGAAATGACGTGGACACAGCTATAACGTTATTACTACTGAATGTGAGGACACAAATACGAGATGAATATTTGAATTAGTCTTCAAACTACTGTATAAGTCAACGAAATTGTTTAATTTGGATTAAATAAAGGGTGAACATTACAAAAAAGTTTGATGCTGTTTTAAACGTTTTACTTGGTGAAAATGTTTAGGCAAAACATTTGCTAAGACAAACTAAATTAAATATTAAAATAAATTGAATTAAAATCTGTTAAAAATGTTAATAATCATTTATACAAATATTTGTTTCTGCAGTTAACAATAATGAAATTAGAAATTAATCAATTGTCAATTAATGTGCAACGAGGCTTGCTAACCCTAACCCTAACCCTAACTTCCCATCAATTGAGGCTTGCTAACCCTAACCCTAACTTCCCATCAATAACCTGGTTTCAATAATCTCTGGTATTTGTCCCTCCATGTTTTTTTTAGCAACACTGATGCTACAATTTTATCCACGGCTCTTGTTTCAGTTGTCGAGTCGGTTTTTGACATGTGACCCGTGGGTCAGTTTGGGGTCAAACCACACGAATCTGAGTGTTTATTGAAATAAACAGCTTATATTGAAATTCAATTCAGTTGATGAAAATATATTGATATTGTGTCAAAATGTTTCAAAATTACTAACCATTTCAAACTATTTTCAAAATCTTAATTTCCTTCACATTTCAAATGCCCCTTTAAAGGCTTTCCAGGGGGGGGACAGCCCCCACTGAGAACCACTGGTCTTTGGTCTTTCAAATGCCCCTTTAAAGGCTTTCCAGTAATCCCAGGGGGACACAGCCCCCACTGAGAACCACTGCTCTTTGGTCTTTGGTCTCCATCATTCTACCATCAAAGAGACGTGATTTTTAAGGTATAAGATTAGAAACAATATATTGTCATGTGTTTAAATATATGTATTAAGTATTCAACTACTTACTTGTATATATTTAAGGTTTTAGCATTAAATATACAAAGCCAGATTTGATTGACATTTTGGTCTGGGGTAGTCCCAACCATCTGCATACAGGGGGCACTCAAGTGCAACGAAGGTTAGACTGTGTAAAATTAGCTAAATTAGCTGAGAGTGGTTTGGGTGGAATGGGTGATGAATGTGTGAGACCAACATTGGTGGGATGGGTGATGAATGTGTGAGACCAACATGGCTCCTCACCTTGTATTGCTTAGCGATGTTCTGCTTGTGGTTCTCCTCCACCTGCCTGAACTTGGTTTCCAAACCTCGGAGCTGGACCTCCATTTTTTCCACATACTGGAGGTCCCTCTGAGTCCGCTGGTCCAGTACTTGGATGGACTGGGTCATGTTCTGGACCTGGAGACGGAGATGAAAAAACATGAGAGAAGTGCATGTACACACATTATACTATGGATCTCTGAGTGGGTGGGGGGTTTATACTACTTGGTGGGTAGTATTTATAGTACATGTTTGTGAGGCGAGAGGATTATCCGAGGCTAGATGTCTTGTCATAAAAGGTTCACATCAGCCTTTGGTCTATAAAGCAGTAGTGTTAGCGCGAGACTGTTGAACTGGGTTGCATCATTAGACGCGCTTCTCTGCATGAGTTCAGAACAATAGAACCTCACAGATTCAGTGCAGCGCTGCCTCCCATGATGCCTGTTGGGTTTCCAGGGAGCTCATTAGAGCATCATTTCTATTCCTGTCCAACAGGCAGAGGCGATGTGAATACCACATGAACGAGGTAACGTGTGTTTGTGTCTCCGGGTGCCGTGGCGATCAGGACCAAAAGGTCGTTTTTATCCGCGTGCCGTCGGACTCTGACGGCAGGGGTCGCGTGTTTTGTCGAACTGTTAAGCTGTGTTTACCTTCTCTAACAGCTGCCTCAGTTGTTTCGTGCGGGCATCTCGTGAACACATGGACTGCTGGGGCGCCACCACGGTGCAGACACACCTCCCCTCACTATCCTGGGCTGAACTGTACACCTGCCACGATTCCTCTGGGTTTGCTGGCAACACCTGGGGATGAAGACACGGAGGAAATAGAAAATTAGGGCAGAGGAGACGGGAAGACGGCGGAGAGGGAGAAACAGCTCCGACAATGACATGGGGAAATACGGGGGGGGGGGGGGGGGGGGGGGTCTCCAGTTAAAGTGCGCGGTCCACTCTTTGTACCACAGCTGTTCTCCACATCCCCCATCTGGACCACACTAACCACCAGGCTCCACCCGTTCTGCAGCATCTGACTGTGTACTTTGAAGCCACACAAAGAGAAGATGCAACCAATCAGGACAGCTGAAGCTACTCCATTATTCATGTGTGTGTGAGTGTGTGTGTGTGTGTGTCTGTGTGAGGCATCCAGTGTGACAGGATTTTTCCTCTTCTGTGTGACTTTAATCATATTTGTCAATAGATAGACAGTCGATGGCAACGACTGTGGAATTATGGACTTAGACGTTAGGACTTGTCTTCAGAAGATTTAGAAAAAAAAAAGAAGTTGAAAAGAATGACCTCTGACTGTGTTCAGTTTTTACAGAAAAATAACCAAAACCCCCCACACACACACACATAGAGATGTACACATAGATGTACACTGTATGTATATATATATATATGTATATATATATATACACACACACAAAACATAAAAAAAGATAAAACAGGCTATAATAATAATAATAATAGTAGTAGTTGTAGTAGTTCAGAAATCCTCTGTAACCTCCACTGCTTCCACCGTCGACTCGTGGACTTGAACACCCAACCTTCCACTGAACGTCACCCTGACAGCCCGAGTCTGTCGAGACTCTGACAAAGACTCGACAGACTCCCTGACCGGTGACCAGACTGAGGTTTTTGATCAAACTCACATCCTGTCACGCACGGGAAGAAAGACCCGGACCTCCCGCTGCTCCACGGAGGTAAAAATAACACCGCTCTGACGTTTGTCACGCCGTTTCTTTATTTTCTGCAGATATTTCTATTATTAATACCAATGGCAAACGACAGCAGTAACTCTGCACTGCCTGCAGGCGTGAGTGAAAAGAGAGAACAAATCAGCTGAAGGAACATCAGACTCCAAATTTGAATTATTTTGCTTTCGAGAAAAAAGAATAAGTTTAAATGCGTCCTGGACGCGCACAGCGCTGAGAGTCCACTCGGTCCAAATGGACTTTAAGTCTTATAAGAAAAGAAAAATTATTATATTTTTTTGGGGGGGGGGGCGCTATTTTAGAAATAGGGTAAAAACCTGCACACTTACTCCCGTGCTCCGGTCAGGATACCCTCCCTGTGCTGCCGACAGCTTGGTGGTATTAAGCCCCACCAGAGAGGGGAGGGTCTGCGACATCCAGTTGGTGATCATCGCCATGGTGCTGAGCACGACGCCGATCTTCAGCAAAGGCACGGACATTTTTGCGCTCTTGCTCTTGGACTTTGTTAAGCCGTCTTCATTCTACGGGTTCCAGCGTGAAACAAAAGGTGCGGAGACTCATGTTGCCCAGAGCATCTTGCTGCTTCGCCCGGCACTCCGGCTCGGCTGGTCGTTTTTTGGACATCTCCAAACGGATCCCTGGCTGCGGACGAGTCTGACGCACGCAACGTGGATAACGGACCTTAAAAAACTGGCAGAAATGGATGGAGGAACACGAGCGGCACCAGGAATGGGTGACTGGATACAGAGGCTTCAAGTGGGGTTTGGAGTGGAGGTTAGCTGCAGGAGTACTCCTCTGGACGGATGTGGCTCCTGCTCCTCCGGCTGCGCTGTCCCACACACTGCTGCCTCTTCACTTCACTGTTACTATTTCGTTCACGGCCGACGGCCCGCCTCCTGCCTCCCTGCGCTCTGTGATTAAGTGCCACAGACTACACACACTGGCTGCTCCGAATGGATGAGAGGAGGAAGGAGGAGGTACTACGGATCTATCTATATCACCAGACGCAATGATGTCAGCCAGCTTGGAGTCCAGTTGTGGTAATATTATATCAACTGTTACGCCAGATGCGCTCGGATCCACGCTCTCTGTCCCCAGACGGAGCGACAGCAAACACCGACATTAACGGTGAGGTGACATTAAACACCACACACTGATGGGTTTGTTTTCTACTCACAAATGACGGGGAAATGAGCGCTTTTAAAGCCTCAGCTCCTCAGGTTATGCACGATAAGCTGTGGTCACCGTCATTTAAACTTAACAGCAAGATGTTCCTGGAACCATTATCCTCCTGTTATACCAGCCCCACAAAAAAAAAAAAAAAAAAAAAAAATTAAAAAATTGCTGTGATGGTTAATGGATGAAACAGAAGTCAGAGGATGCTTGCAGTCAGAAAATGCGGCTGGGTTTTCTTTTTCATTTGTGAGACTCTGGCGCCATCGTGCAGCCGATTGTGGTGTTGCTGATATTAATAATTGATTCATAATGCACAAGGCAGACGGTGATTATTTAGGTTCATGATTATAGTTTTTTTTAATAATTATTGACTTTAAGTGACTCAGTATGCACGATACTAATACTAAACAACTTTTTAATTTTTTTTTCATATTTAGTTCTGTTAATGTTACAGAAATGAAAAAGTCTGACAGTCAGAAAGCAAGTTTGTCCACAAACTGTCTCCACAGGCAACCACGCAGGGTCACGGTTTGAACCGCAGCCCTGCATGATACATGAAGTCCCCAGAATAGTGAGACTGGCTCGGCAACCCTAGTTATTTCTGTCACCGTCATAATGCATTTCTGTGGTTGAACTCAGAGATGGATTTGAAGCTCACTGCACCTACACACTGCTCCCCTCCATCACACTCTCACCCACTCCTCTTCCTCCTCTCCCTGTCTTTTCAGTGTCACTCGTCGCTCCCACTCATTTCGTGACCTTTGGGCTAAAAGCTCACCGCAGCGACGGCTTCACAGATTAGAGCGAGGAGCAGCGGGGTCAACGCACCGCTGACACACAGTTCTAATGTATAGAAGAGTGGAGTCTGATTCTGTAAACGGGGAAGAAATTATCACTCATCTGTAACAGGTTGACTTTTTCAACCGCTGACTGTTCGGTTTTAAAGACATGTGACTAAAAAGAGACAAATACCTCATCAATAAATCATTAAATGAAAATGGCGGGAGGTTTGGACGCTGTGACTGGAGTGAGGTGTTGTCGTTTGATATTTTACAGCTGCTGCTGACAAACTGTAATTATATTTTTTAATTCACTCGCTGAAAGGTTTAGGAGTTCTAAATAGAAGGACAAACAAGCTGACACCTGTTTGGCTACAGTCAAATATAAAAATAACACATCAAATGAACCGGGTACCACATTTCAACATGTCACCGATCACAACGCAGACACAGGATAACAGATCACTTTTCAAGGCAGCGAGTGCACATCAAAATGCACTGTGTCTCCACCTCTTTCATTTGTTTCCTCTCTCTCTTTCTCTCCCTCCCTCCCTCCCTCTCGCTTTATAACTCACACAACCATATTGAATAATAAATAGCCCCAACCCCGGCTGCCACTCTCACCATGCATATTGCATTCCAGCTCAACCCCACATACACAAAACCAGATTGATTTTCTGACTTCCACATAAAAAAAAAAAAAAAATCCTTAACAGGATCAAAATGTTCCCCTGCTGGACTCCGTATAATTTATGTTTGAATAACACAGAAGTCGACAGGCTGCGAAAGTACATTTAAATATTTTATGTGAATTAGATCACAGGTATAGGTTTCACCTAAATCTAAAAATGGAGGATTGATTAATTAATTGTGCTCATATATGAAGCAAAAAAAAAAAAATCAATCATGAGGAGATGTAGAACATTTTTCCTCCACCTGCTAATTACGTGTTTGATTACCTATGGTACATGGTATGAAATGGGTGGGGACGGCAGCGCCATCTGTTTGGTGAGGTGTCAGAGAGAAGCTTTAGGTTGTGAGCCACGAGGTGAGGCGCAGATGTCACTCTAGCTGTTGCTCTGTGTGAACACCAGGCCGTTTCTAAATCCTTCAGTGGAAAGGATTCAGGTGAGTAAAGTCAGGACAGAACCTCAGAACAGAGCGTGGTGTTCATCAGGTTTGTTTAAAGGAGGCAGGGAGCTGATGGGCCACGCTGTCTGAAACACAGGGAGGTTGTTGTGGTCATTTAGAGGATGCTTAGCATTTAGCACAAAGGCAGCGCTGCACTGGACCTGGACATTTCTGAATCTTTCTGTTTTTTTCAAACACATCTCTGACATTTTAAATTAGACTTTTCACAACGAAACTGACATGCAAGTGAGGCGGGCCACAGTCAGCGTCCGGACAGGAAACCGGTGGACTGATATCGACTCAACCTCAGTCAGACAACTCAGGCTACATTAGAGCGACCGTAACACAACGTGGGGCCTTGACCTGTGCAGGATGTGGAGCTGCTGCTGTGAAACCTAAAGTGTTAAGTCCTCTGCTGCCCATTCCCACTCTGACTGATGGCGTCCGTCAATCAAGCGCGAGCAGCTCCATTGTGTCAGCATTTTCACGGGCCCTCTGCTCCTACATGTCCAGAGACCGTAACAGAGCCAACGCGGTGTTGTGAGAATGAAACAAACGGCCGGTTTTAAAGCTGTGTATAAGGCTGCAGCGTTGATCCATTTACAAATTAAAGTCCATGTCAAAGCCAAGCTGTTGCTCTTTCAAAAATAAATGATCTGCTTGCAGCATACAGTCATTTCTCATAAATTTGCCAGAATTGATCGCTGGCATATTTCTATTACATCAATTTTCTCCCAACACGTGGGCCAGCAGCAGGGGTTGCTGCAGCCCACGTCCTCGGCACATTTTATTGAGTTTGTCACTTGGAGTGGAGTATATCACGGCCAGGCTGGGAATCGGGATTACTTTATTGATAGCACCTTAGTGGCACATTTGATTTTTTTTTTTTTTTTAGTCTCCAATTACCAAACAGCAAGTGGATTCACAGGAGAGCAACGCCTGTGTGAAATATGACTCTGTGTTCATGAAGGAGCAATTAAATCACCAACTCCTTCAACCCACCGGTGATTGTGTCCCTGCGATAAACACAGCTGGCCCTTCACTCCTTTATCACGCTGTCCATTCAGATTCTAAAGTTTAATGGAACAGTAACTATTACTGCCAACGACCTCCAGGAGTTGATCGGTAAATCAGACCGAGACTGACATGTTATTGTTTTTTATTGTTCTGTAACTTTGTTTACCAAATTGCTGTGATAAACAATGTATCATAATATTGTGTATGTGTGTGTGATGAAAGGTTATCACAGTGGTTATCACAGAACGATCAGATGATGAACCAGAGTGACAGGAAATATGAGTAGAACAATGTTCTTCCCACCAACATACACTCCTAGCAGTTTATGGCATCATGATGATGATGATGATGATGATGATGATATTGTTTGTTCCAAGGAATATGAGAAGAATATGAACACTGGGTCCTGCAATGTTATGCTTTTAGATGACGGGCAGTCACCAGTGGTCACTGAGCATGCTCACAGCACCTTCACTGAGACACTGCATCTGATTGTTAAGCCCTGAAGAGCAGCGCAGCAACAGCAACAGAAAAGAGTGGCCTTATTTAAAACACACACACACACAGACACAGACACACAGACACACACACACACACAGACACAGACATAATACCTGGTGTACTGTATATGAATAATACTACACTTGGAAATGAAGGATTGAGTCATATTTGCCTCCTCATATCTGGTCCTCTCTGTGGCAACACAGGGGCAGAATCATCTGGATCAATCAGACACCATGTATTCACATCATGTAATCCCAGCAGATAATCTGGTTGAACGTAATGCGCGGCCAGAGCAGGTAAATCTCTAAATGGAAATGGAGCCAATTACCTGCGGCTTATATCTCTTCTTCTTCTTCTTTTTTTTTTACCCCTATAAAACACACTTGGTGAAAATGTCGGTTCTTTTTTAGAGATAATAAATAAATCAACACCTACTTGGGTGAGTTCTGTGCCCATGAAGATGAGGAGGATGAGGGTCAGGAGCTTGCTCGCAGGCTGCATCTCTTGCCTCCGGTGTGTGTGGACCATGCAGCGGTCTCACATGCAGATCGAGTCCCTCTGCGTCCCCGCTCACAGCAGTCCTCTCCTCTCCTCTCCTCTTCTCCTCTTCTCCTCCTCTCCTCTCCTCCTCCCGGCTCCCTGTGTTTGCGCTGCGAGTCGCTCGATTCTCTGTTTGATTGTTGTATTTTATCCTTCAGCAGCCCCGCAGCACACGGCGACAGATCAGATTCACGGAGTCGTCTCTGTGCATATTCATTTTTATCTCTGGAGCCTGTCCTCCTGCTCTGTACTCCTCCTCCGCCTCCTCCTCCTCTTCTTCTTCTTCCTCTTCTTCTTCTTCTCCTTGGTCGCCTGCCGCTGACACCGGCTGTGATGATGAAGCCAAAGACGCGGCGCAATCAGCGACGTATGCGCGGCGACGGACCGACCGTGAGTGTGATTTGGCCAAAGTTTCCCTCCCAGCCTCGAGCTGCCGTGTTTGCCGTGGATGGAGAAATGAGTGACTGCGCTGCACTTGCTGCTGAAAGCGGAAGTTGCATCGCAGAGAGAGGGAGATTTGAACGCGCAGGTGGAGCATTTTCAGTCACTCAGTTTATCATAGCATAATGTACCACATACTGTATTACACCACACGTAGCTACAGTATTGTATCATATAACAAAGCATAATGTGGTATAATATACAATATGGTATTGCATAGTATACTGTAATGTACCACATACTGTAGTATATATAGGTATAGTATAGTATACCAAAGCATTATGTGGTATAGTGTAATATACAGTAGTATAGTGTATAGCATAATGTAGTATACCACAAATAAATTTACTGCAGTATAGTATAATATAGCACACTACAGTATAGTGTCTTATACCATAGGATGATATAGTACCACAGCATAGTATGGCATGGTATGGTAGTGTAGTACCATAGTATATAGTATAGGACTCCAGACTCATTCATAGAAAACATCACAAGGAAAAAAATATTTGTACAAAAATTTTCAATTTTTGTCAAAACTGCTCTTTATTAAAAAAGTGGTCCCTCTCTTCTGACCAATCAACATGCAGAACCAGCGCCCACGCCCACCCACTGCTCACTGTCTTTCACGGAATCCCAGACAGGTTTTGTCTTAAAGTATGCATTTAAAAAGCAAAGAGAAAACTGTAGCTCAGCTTCCTGATTTTTTAAGACATTATAG